GGAACATTTGATAGGCACTCATATATGTGGCATAGTGTGCCATCCTTTTAATGAGTCCTGCTGCTATATGAGTCTTTTTTCCCATGGCGTCTATTTTTCTCCCTTCCTTATCTGAAGGTGTTGTTTTCTTTGACTTCTTTCCCTGGCCTACTTCTGCTATAACCGTGTTTGGTTTAAATGGTTTATACACCCAGTCATTGTTAGATAAATCTAGTCTGTACAAATTATCTACTCTTCGTGGTATGGCTGGTGCTGATGCTGGAGATCCCTCTGGCACCTTGGTAAGCTTCAAAAGGTATGGTAGTATTGGTAGTGTGGTATTATTTGATGTTTCCTTTTGGTCAGCAGGAAACATGGGGTCTTCTACCGGTTCCAGTGGTTTTGGGGAAGGTAAGTCCAGTGCCTTAATTAGTCTTGCTAACAAGGCTGTAAATTTTGCAATGTCCTCATTCGCATTTGTAACAGGGTTTTTTTTCCTTGATTCATCAGGTGTAGTTGTTTCATCATCTGATGAGTCTGATAGATCTATTTGCTCCGATTGTGGAACATCAATGTTAATTTCTTGTTCTGGTATTGATTCATTTTGCATTGTTATGTCCCTTGATGTTGATGGTAAATTTCTATTTATTCTAGGGACTATGGGTCCCTGTGGTATTATGTTGTAATTGTTTGGGATATTGGTATTCTGCCATTGATAAGGAGCAGGTGCTCCACCAAAATAAATAGGTCCCTGTGGTGTCATTTGCCAATATCCCCTTTGGGGGGAGCCCTTTGTAAAGATCCCTTACCTTGCCAGCCTGGATGGCAGGGCCTAGGAGAAACAGGCCAGTTAGTTGCAGCTTTAGAAGGCCTGGCAGAGGGCAGCAGGAGCCATTTTAGTTTAGGGAAAGCACCATTTCAGAGAGGGGGAGTGGCCTAGGCCTGAGTCAGCCTTAGAACAGCCAGGATTGGTTTAAAAAGGGGGGCGGAGTTTAGACTGTTTGGAGGGAAAGAAGAGGGCTTTTTCAGTCAGTCTATTGTTGTTGGAGATTAGAGTAGGAAGGTAGTTTAGGAGTTCGTGTTTTAAGATTAGTTTAGGGAAGGCAGTTTGCCTTAGGTTTGCCAGCAAAAGAAGCTGTGGCAAACTGGAACAGTTATCAGGGAAAGATAGCTGGTTTTGTAGTTAGCTAGGCCACAGTTGAGGGGTAGCTAAGCTACAGTTGTATCTTGGCAGAGATTCAGATCCTGTCAAGTGTACTTGGTTTTAAAGAGAAGAAAATCTCTGTGTTGTAACAAAGAAAGAACCATTTACTTGTAACCATTACGCTTTGAAAGACAAGAACATTTTCTCTGTAACAGCCAAGCTTTAACAGCATTTACTTTCTTCTGTATATTCTTACCAATAAACTTTCCTTGATTATTTTGAAACTTAAAAGCCTGAGTCAAGTGTGCCTTTGTGGCTATAGTTCTTTCCAAACAACCTCACTTGCTTCCCTTTATAGAAGAAATAATAAAACCCAGTCCTTGGTGGTCTTAAAAAACATTTTTAATATTTTAAACAGCTAGGGTGTTCCTGTACATTATAGTTACGGTGGCAGCGGAAATTAATTAATGAAACATCCCCTCAAACATTATATTGGTGCCAAAGTGGTGTGAATTCTTTATATTGGAGGGACAGTTGGTGGGATCTGCTTTACCCCTGTCCAGCTATTATTGTTTGGCCATTGCCTATTCTTTATACCCTTCTCTACAAGATCTAGAAGATGAGTGTGAATAGCCTCTCAATCCTCTGCCTCTATGTGACAGGCTTCTTCTGCTCCTCCCCCTTCGGCATCGCTTCCTTGCTTTGGAAGGGGAGGAGTTGGAAGATGGGCTTGAGGAAGAGCTGGATTCGCTCGTAGATATCGAGTGGTTCCGGCGCCGGCGTTCTCCAGGCTTCGCTGAGCCAAGAACATTACTTGGATGATGCAAAGGTGCCCTCGCACGGCTTCACACAGAGCGCCCTTCCTCCACAGCTGAGGAAGGGCCAGGTGCTTGAGAAAGAGCAGTGGGAGGAGCTTGGATCGGCTCCTCTCTTGATTCCCCCGTGGAGGTTGTGGGTGGTGCCAGCGTCGAGAGTGTCGGCATCGGGGGAGTGTTTTGGTTCTCCCTAGCCTCCTGCGCATGCGCGGGGCGTGTTCTTGCCGATCCCAGCTCTGTGTCCTTCTGGATTGCATGCGTAGGCGTGGGGCCTTCTCCTGTGCCTGCATCTTTTGGTATTGCTGGCTGCGAGAGTTCAACTGGCGTATCAGTTGATTTCTTGTTTTTAATATTTTGTTCTGAGCCAGGTGCTCTTTCTTTATTTTTTTTTTATTTTCTTATTACGCGTCTTCGTTTGAGCAGAAAATGACAATTCAGGTAAATTCATCTCTGTTGTTGTTGTCTTTGAATCGCCATTTTGCCGCTTCGAGGGCATTGGGGGGAGAAGCGCCCGCTCGTAAAGAGCTTCTTTAAGGCAAATTTCTCTCTTTTTTCTTGTTTGTGAGGTGAAGGACTGACATATACCACACGGTTGTAGTATGTGTCCTTCACCAAGGCACACAATGCACAGCGTGTGTGCATCATTATCAGGAAAATTTGCCTGACAGGCCGTACATCGTTTGAAGCCTGTGGTTTGAGACATTATTTTAGTTTTGGAGTCTCCACGATCAAGTTTTGAGTTAAATATATAGTTAAGTAATTGATGAAGTAATGAATCTCAATTCTCCGGCTGCCTGAATGCGGCGGATTTAAAGAACTGACCGTTAGCTCCGCAGAGGGCTATTTATGCTGACGGAGGTGGGCGGGGCTTTGCTAACGGTTTCTTTGAGTCTCAAGAGGTCTGATGCTGCCTGCGCAAGTGCAGGAATTACCATAGGTGCAAATTACAGGTGGTCATGAGAGGAAACATAACTTTCCCAGGGTGTTTTTGCAGTTGAGCAGGGTGGAAAAGTAAGAAGGTGTGAGAGTGAGGAAGGTAAGATGAGACAGCAAAGATATTTGGAGTTTTAGCATAGAGGCTTAAGTAACAAGAAAAGCTGATCTGGGTTTGTTTTACCTGTCTAGGGTGTGGATGCTGGGGGTGGAGGGAAGAAAGCAACTACCATCTTGGCATTTTGGGAAGAAATCAATTTCTTTTGCTTTCTACTTCATCACACTAGAGAATGACTCCACTTTAAATTTGGTTTCTGCCTCCTGCAGAATTCTTGGGTTTGTAGTTTAATGAGGCTGTTAAAATCTCCTCCCTAAACTACAAACCCAAGAATTCTGCAGCAGGCAGCAATCTGATTTAAAGTGGAGTCATTCTCTAGTGTGATGGAGTAATTAGAAGACTATTGAGAGGGTAATGAAGAAACTGCATTTGAGAGGAAGCCATTTACTTTACTCAGAAGACTTTTGTGAGGGTGATTTTTTAAATCATGTCAGAAGTGACTGGAGAAAGTTGCTTCTGGTTGAGACAATTGGCTGTCTGCAGAGACATTACCCAGAGGAGGCCTGGATGTCTTACCATCCTGAGGGAGGCTTCTCTCATGTCCTTGCATGGGAAGCTGGGGCTTACAGACAGGAGCTCACCCTGTCTTGTGGATTTGAACCGCTGACCTTCAGGTCAATAGTTCAGCCAGCACAAGGGTTTGTTAACCCACTGTGCCACCGCGGCTCCCTTGTGAGAGTTATGAAGAAACTGCAGTCTTGGAACTTTGATGTGGCTAGAAGATATTTCTTTTGTCTATTTAGATGTGTGTATGTGTGTGTGAAAGTGGAGCCCTGATATCTGGAAAAGAGGTGTCTCTTACCCCCCCCCCCCCAGGTTGGAGACGGAGTCATTCTGGGGAGACAGTTCACTTAATTCTAGCCAAGTCATGTTGGGATCAGCAGTTATACCTTTGGTTCTTCTGGAGAGTATATGCACATTTTTATCCTGGAAAAGCTCTGGTATTTTATCTTGAAACTTTAAAAATTGCTGCTGGACTGAGTAAAAATAACTAATTATATGGCTGCTTCCAGTTCACTTACAATACATTACTTTGATCTCCAATTATTCGCTGTGGAACTGGCTCCCCCTAATTATGAGTGTTAATTCATACTGCAAGTCCAGGAATGCAATTCTTACATAAATTGAAACCCACCTATACTATACTTTCATCCTCCCACTCTTCAGATCTTACACTAGTTAGGATCTAGTAATGTAGAAGAGGCTTCACATTAGATGCACCTCCATTATGTTTTATCAATTTATTTTTCTTTTATTAAATGTAGCCACTGAGGCTGCGGTTTGAAGATGGAGGCAATGCTGTGAGCTGGGAAAGAAGAGGGGAGCTTTTTAATTCAGAACTTTCAGAGTGAAATATTGTGCTTTCAAAATCTGCCCAGCCTTCTTGCTATTATCTTCAATGTAATATATACAATAGTGGGGGACACTAGGATTGGAAAACAGTCTGGAAAGAATGAAGAAGATTTTCTTTCCATTTTAGAATCTTGACTTCAAACTAAAGCTCCTTGTAAAATTTGAAAAACCCTAAAACAAAACCCTGTGGGGACAAAAAAACATATAATGTGGAGTTCTGCATCCACATGTCCTATCAACCAATAGCTAGCTACATTCTCCATAATGGTCTCAGGAAATGTAAGAGAAAAATCAGACATCTGCATTTAGTCCCAGTGGATACATACATGATAGTTGTTAGATGCTTTGTCCTTTATTGAAGAAAAGATAGATCATGACAGCTTTAAAAGTGATAATATTTATTTCGTTTGTCCATGTATGTGTATGAGGTGTGTGAAGAGAACAGGTATGTTTCTCTGTCTGTCTGTCTGTTTGTCTCTCACACACATATATAGCTGATTAGTATTCTCAAAGCTCTCACAGTGCCGACTGTTTAGGAAGAGGTGAAAGAATGGATATTGCTTTACTTAAAACTCAAGTCAGATGAACAGTGGAAAGACATGTTTCCAGCCCCCACAACATTACCGTTTTGTCCGACCGCACTTTGTACACATTTCTTACCCAGGTATTGAAAAGGTAATATTTTCACATTCAACAGGTTTTCTGCAATAAAACAAAAATATAATAAAGATTATCTGAAGCTTTAAATAGAATTGTCTGACAATGACTTCGCAACGTGTATTTCAAAGTATTCTATACTGTCTGAAATATTTCATTTTGAGTAACAACACCAGTGAACAGCACACGCCACAAAACTACAAAAATGTTTCATCAAAAAACATTCCTTAAAAAAAAGAGGGGGAGGGGAAAGGAGAACGAAAAATAGAACACCTGCTGTTGCAAGGAGAAACCTGGTGGCTAGAGACAAGACAGATCTTCAACTAGTCTATGATGCAAAACATGACAAGATGTACTAAATTGCAGATACTTTGCTACCAACTATCCTGGATCCTCTAAAGATGCCAGCCACAGATGCAGGAGGAAATGCTGCTGCAACATGGCTGTAAAGCCCGGAGACCACACAACACCCCAGTGATTTTGGCCGTGAAAGCCTTCAACAATACATTTTCCTGGAATTCACATGAAGAACAATTACAAGTCAAACTGCTGTAAGGCAGAGTAACAAATGTATAGTGACACTATATTTCCTTGAAATGGTCTGATCCTTATCCACATCTTTCTTTCTTTTATCCCTTTATTGTCCTAAAATTTGCACTGAATAAGATGTTTTACATAAATCTCTTCTTATATGCACCTTCTGTCCTCTGCAGAGATTCTCCTCAAGGGATCATAAAGATGTGTCTCTGGGAGCCATTTGAATTAGCATTGTTTCGTTTAATAGTTAAGAGTGCTGGAGCAGAACCAAATAAAGTCACACACACACCTCTACTCATCTGTGACTTTTAGTTATCTCTCAAAGGCCTCATCTACATTGCCATTATAATGCAGATTGAACTGCATTATATAGTCATATAATCCAGTTTAAAGTAGTTTAGCTGCATTATATGAGTCTACACTGATTATTATCATAGGCAATCACTTGTTGGCGAGTATGATTGTTTTCCAAGAGTAGAGTCTTGGTGCTGGTCTGTATTCTGGATCCACATAGTCTTTCACAATGAGGATTTAGATTTCCAGATGGAAGGCGGTCCTGACAAGGGTTTGCTTTACGTGCCTTATTTATTTATTTGAGACATTTATATGCCACCCTTCTCACTCCGAAGGGTACGTTTTCTCTTGGTACGTTTCTCCCCTTTGTCCTCTGTTCGTGCTTCTTCAAAATCCCTAACTGTTCAATCTGCGTGATAATGGCAGTGTAGGTGTGGCCAAACTCAGTTAGAATATCTCAAACTATGGTACAACTCGAAGTTATTACAAGAATTAAAAAGGGGGAATCTGAGTTCCTTAGATGAGAACTTTGATAATACTTTGGATGATAACTTTGGTAATACTGAAAATGCAATGATACCCTACTTTATTTTTGTTCTCAGAACATGTTGATTGTATATCTGCAGGTGAAAATAATTATTGTACACTTGGGATCTGAATAATTGGAATGGAAATATCTACACAGATGTCATGCTAATTTACAGTTTGCCCAAATCAAAATTTATAGCACAAACTAGGAAGTCAAACCTTAGACCACCATATGCAATCTCACTTTCTATCTGCTCAACATCTGTGTCTGCAGCCTTTTAGTGGCTTTTAGTAACAGCCATTGTTGTGGTTCTCATAGTACACCAAAGAACAATTAGTATGAGCTGTGGATTTCAAACCCACTTCAAAACATAATCTCCAATTCTGGTTTGTCAGCTCATCACAAGCCATGTTTTCCATTAAGGACATAAAGTGACACCATAATTCATAGAATCAGAGAATCAGAGAGTTGGAAGAGACCTCATGGGCTATCCGGTCCAAACCCCTGCCAAGAAGCAGGAACATTGCATTCAAAGCACCCCTGACAGATGGCCATCCAACCTCTGTTTGAAAGCCTCCAAAGAAGGAGCCTCCACCACACTCCAGAGCAGAGAGTTCCACTGCTGAACAGCTCTCACAGTCAGGAAGTTTTTCCTAATGTTCAGATGGAATCTCCTTTCTTGTAGTTTGAAGCCATTGTTCCGTGTCCTAGTCTCCAGGGAAGCAGAAATCAAGCTTGCTCCCTCATCCCTGTAACTTCCTCTCACATATTTATACATGGCTATCATGTCTCCTTTCAGCTCCCTTTTAGGCTTCCTTTACCATGGTTTGGCATGGTGTCTGAAATGAAGGGGTGCTGACTTTCCAAAGTATTTTGATTGGTGAAAAAAAAAATGCCAGAATACACCAGAAAAGAAAATAACAAATAATCTCAACGTAAAGAATCAAAATAAAAAATTCAACTAAACTGAAACTAACTACTGTAAATACACAATTTTTCATGTACAAGCGTTCTTATCTACAATTTGCTCCAAAGACCACATTCATCACAGGCATGTCCACACAGGGCTTCTATGTTCAGAAGTTGAGACCTATTTATCTAGCTGCTACAGGAAGGTTTCCCATGTTTCATTTCAACTTTGTTTAGTTGAAATCACTGGCCGAGACTAGTCCTAGAACTATGTTTACAACTATAGTGGGACAGTATTTGGAGAGAAAAAAGGAAACCTTGGGGTGTTTCCCACTATGTTACAGGTCTTTGTTTTAAAGCTGAGAGGTCATGGTTTTGTGTACATTATCCATGTATAGTAAGACACCAGAGAGATAAGACTGAAGTGTCCAGTAATTCCCAGATACTATAGCAATTCCATATTTTCTGGTAGCCTATTGCTCTCTTAATCAGAAAGCATCTAAACCAGTGTTTCCCAAACTCGGCTGTTCTAGATGTTTTGAACTTCGGCTCCCAGAATCCCCGATCATTGGCCAAGACACCGAAGGCTTCTGGAGGGCAAGAGTTCAAAGTGACTGGTTTAAACACTTTCCCAGTATAAGCGTTTGCCTCTTGCTCCTTCTGACTCTTGGTGTGGTAATTGGATCTGACTGATTGTAGTGCCTTTTACAAATGGCATAGGTCTTGATCCTCCTGGTCAGCCCTGATAATAAGATTCTAGTCTTACCCTGCACTGACCCTTAGCCAGGATTTCGATTCGGGGGGGGGGGGGCTGAGTCTGAGTGAAAGAGGGTCTACCCTAGCAAACCTTTTGTATAGTTACCCCAATACCCCCATGCATATGGATATATTGAGTATGGTGATCAGATCATGATATGAATAAACATAACAGTTTAAATAATGACCAGTAAGGCCTTTTCGCGAACCACCATGAGAATTTCGGGGGGCTGAAGCCCTCCAAGCCCCCCCCCCTGGCTACATGCCTGACCCTGCATAACTGCTTCTATGTAATCCGGCTGTCAGTACAATTTCTTTTAAATTGTTTTAATTTTTGTTAAGTACAATATAAACAGACAAAATAAAATTAGAAAGAAGATAAAAAACACTGATAGCAATGCCATCTGCAGAGTATTGAAGATAATAGAAAGTAGTCATTAAATGTATTCAGTAAAGCTTACAATCCAGAGGAACCCGATCTTTCCAGTGGTTTAAGTGATGGGTGGGTGGTGCTGTGTGCCCCCCTTGATATATTCCATGAAAGGGATCAATTTTTCAATAAAGGCATTTTGTTTAACAGGTTGGTGTGATGCTTGTGAATAACCTGACAGGTCTTAAGCATCCCAGACTCCGAACCATCAGTCATCTAGGAAATATAGGTTGCTTACCTGTAAACATAGTTTCCCGAGTGGTAGCCTGTGAATTCACACATATGGTATTTCCTGCGTGCGCGCAGGCAGCAACGGACAATCACGAGCTCACTCCAGCTGACCGTTAGAGTAGCCCCGCCCCTTTCTCTCCACTCAATAAATAGCCCTGCTGCGGGGCTACCGGCCAGTTCCTCCGCTGCAAAAGCAGCCAGAAGTCCTGGGCATGACCACAGAGTGGGGAGGATGAGTGAATGTGTGATGTGTGAATTCACAGGCTACTACTCAGGAAACTATGTTTACAGGTAAGCAACCTATATTTTCCTCGCGTGGCTAGCCTGTGAATCACACATATGGTAGACTAGCGAGCTGCTAACCTAGGTGGAAGGAGTCATGCCACAGCTGAAAAAAGAACAGCCCTGCCGAAGGCTGCATCCCTCTTTGATGCGACATCCAGCTTGTAGTGAGTCACAAAAGTTGAAGGGGTAGACCAGGTAGCAGCTCTGCAGACCACGTCTAACGGTACCCCTCTCAAGAAAGCCATTGATGTCACCACCGCTCTCGTGGAGTGTGCTTTCACCTGCAAAGGTAAGTCCTTCCCTGCCATACTGTAAGCCTTATGAATAGTCAGTACTATCCACGATGACAGGCGTTGAGATGACACCGGAAGACCTATGGAGTCCTTCCGGTATTTCAAGAATAATCTCGAGGATCTTCTCGTACTCGATGTTCTATCTATGCAGAAGGCCAGGGCCCTCCTGACATCCAATAAATGCAAAGTCTTTTCCAAAGGAGAAGCCGGGTGTTGAAATAGGGCTGGCAGCACTATTTCCTGGGAGAGATGGAATTTCGTAGCCACCTTAGGAAGGAAAGCCAGATCAGTTCGTAGAACTACTCTGTCCTTATGCATCCGAAAATACGGTTCATCGCACCTCAATGCACAAAGCTCACCCGCCTTATGGGCCGAAGTGATTGCTACTAGGAATGCTGTCTTCCAGGACAAAAAGGATAAGTCCACTGTCGCCATTGGCTCGAAAGGTGGCTTTGTCAATGCTGTAAGCACTATTCCAAGGCTCCAGGCCGAAACGACTGGTGTAACTGGGGGTCTAATATTCTTAAAACCTTTCATTAATTGTGTTACCAATGGATCACTAAAACAAGATGGTAAGCCTGCTCTCCTGCGGAACCAAGTTAAAGCTGCTAAGTAGCACTTTCAAGATGACAGGGCAAGACCTTGGTTGGCAAGGTGCATCAAAAATTCCAATACTACTGTGGTAGAGGCCGTACATGGGTCCGCATCCCTCTCTTGGGCAAATTTTGAAAATCTTGTCCATTTATAAAGATATGATTTTTTTGTAGTGGCCCTCTGCGCGGCCTCTAAAACATCTATCACATCTTTCGATAAAGCTGGATCTAACCCTCCTGGAGCGGGAGTATTCTCCAAGCTGTTAGTCTTAAACCCCGGACATCCGGGTAAAGGACACAGTTGTCCTGCGTCGTTAAGAGATCCGTTCTGTGCGGAAGTGGACTGAACCTCTCCCTGGACAACCACAGCACTAGCGCAAACCACAGTTGACGAGGCCACCAAGGAGTGATCAGAATCCCTCTGGCCCTCTCTCGGCACAACTTCGACACTACCTTCAATATCAGAGGGAATGGTGGGAACGCATACACTTCCTGAGTCCCCCAATGTATTGAAAAGGTGTCGCCCATGCAATTCTGTGCTAAGTTCTTCTCTTGTCTTGCACAAAACAGGCGACACTTCCTGTTGGCTTGTGATGCAAACAGATCTATCGTGGGAGTCGGCCACTCCCTGAAAAGTTGTGAAGCTACTTCCTCATTTAGGGACCACTTGTGATGACCTAGTGGGCTCCTGCTCAAAAAGTCTGCTAGTGTGTTTTGCTTTCCTGGTAGGTGGACCGCGATGAGATGAATGTTTCTGTCCACACACCAGCGCCATATCTTCAGTATTAGAGTCAGTAATGTGGGGGAATGTGTGCCACCCTGTTTGTTGATGTAAAACATGACAGTGGTATTGTCTGTGAGAATTTGAATGACCCTGTTGGTGAGCACTAGCTCGAAGGCTTTCAATGCCTTCCCTACTGCTAGTAATTCCAACTGATTTATGTGTAAGGTGGATTCTAGTGGTGACCACTTTCCTTGGGCTGTGAGGCCATCCACATACGCTCCCCACCCCATGAGTGAAGAGTCTGTTGTCATGGTCTTGGAAGCGGTAACTTCATGGAATGGCAATCCCACACAGACATTGCCGTGCTCCAACCACCAAAGTAGGGAGGTCCGCACTTCCCCGGGTAACGTTGGGCGTATGTAGGGTCTGCATGTTAGTGGGTCGAATAACGAAAAGAACCATGACTGTAGCAATCTCATGTTCAGCCTTGCAAGTGGGGTCACTGCTGTAGTGGATGCCATGTGCCCCAGAATGACTTGGATAGTCCTGGCTTGTACTCTTTTCTCTTGAATAATAATTTTCTTTAGATTTTCGAAATGGTCGTCGGGTAGGTACGCCCTCTCCAACTCTGAATCCAGTATTGAGCCAATGAACTGTATCCTTCTTGTTGGAGTAAGCTGGGACTTCTCCCAATTCACGATGAGACCTAGGGACTGGAGAAAACATAGGTTTTTTTTAAATGCTCTTCAAGAATTTCCTTAGATCTTGCTACAATATCCAATCGTCTATGTACGGATAAACCGTAATCCCTGAGGTATGCAGGTAAGCCGCAACCACCGCCATACACTTAGTAAATACTCGTGGCGCAGTTGCGAATACGAAAGCCAAGACATTGAAAGTGTAGGCATTGTCTCCCACCATAAAAGCTAGATATTTCCTATGTTGCTTATTTATTGAAATATGGAAATAAGCGTCCTTAAGATCCACCGTTGTGAACCAATCACCTTTATTCAGTAACGGTAACAGGATTTTCAATGACAACATTCGAAACTTCTTAGGTTCTATGTAAGAATTTACATCCCTCAGATCTAAGATTGGTCGTTGACCTCCTCCTTTCTTAGATACCAAAAAGTACCTTGAGTAAAAACATAACTTTTGGTTTCTTGGATGCAAAGGGGAAATGGCCCCTTTTGAAAGGAGTTTGTCAATCTCTTCCTGCAGTAAAGGAGATTAAGCTGTAACTTTAACTCTCACAACAGGAGGCAATTGCTTAAACTCAATGAAGTAACCGTATTTTATAATTTTCAAAACCCACTTATCGGTTGTTATCCCAGCCCAAACATTGAAAAATGGGGCCAAACGATTGCCAAACGTGGCAGATCCATTACAAACTTTCCCACTCTCTTCATAGGTGAGGCATTCAACATGTTTAACATTAACAACTTTACACAATGATTCAACCGCGGTTGTTTCGCCCGCTGAGTTATCATCAAAAACGCTGCTTTGGACCCCCAGGGCGGTTAGGTTTACTTTGATACGGTTGAAAACGGTTCTTCGCTCCGAAACTTTGCTTCTTCGGCACAAATGGTCTAGTATATTGTGTGGTATACTGGCGTTGTTGCGTGTTTATGTAGTTTCCGAAGCCTCTTCTGTAGTATGGAGAGGTGTTCTGCCATCTCGGTCGGTGATGGAACGTGTTCTGCTTTGGGAAACCATATATTTGTAGTGTTTTCTTCATCTCTTGGTTGTGTTTTAATTTCTCATCTGTGGTTGTATTGAATAAACCATCGTGGAGCATGGGCAGTTCTTTTGCTAAGGATCTACCTTCTTCAGACAGGTCGGATGCTCTCAGCCAAGCATGACGTCTAGTCGATGTTGCGATTGCAAACATTTTCCCTGCTGACTCCGCTAGATGTTTCGCAAATTCTTTTTGATATTTAGATAGGAGCAGGGCCTCTGTTGCAAAAGCTCTAGGTAAACGTTGTTCTTCTTCTGGTAATATATGTACATATGGCAGTACTTTGTTCCATAAGAAAGTTTGATATGCGCTCATATAGGTCGCGTAATGAGCCATTCTTGTAATTAGGCCTGCTGCCATGTGCATCTTCTTCCCTATGGTATCAAGTTTCTTTCCTTCTTTATCAGCAGGTGCTGTTGCTGTCTTTCTAGACTTCTTCCCTTGCCCTACTTCCACGATAACAGTGTTTGCTTTGAAAGGGCGAACCAACCAGTCCGCATTTGTTAAGTCGATTCTATAAAGGTTGTCAGCTTTCCTGGGCATGGCAGGTGCTGCCGCTGGTGACCCTTCTGGTACTTTAGTAAGTTTTAATAGATAAGGCAAGGAAGGCAATGCAGTAGTGTTAGGAACATCTTGCTCATCAGTAGGAAACATTGGGTCTTCCACTGTTTCCTGTGGTTTGGCTGTTGGCAAGTCTAATGCTTTTATCATCCTTGACAATATAGCATTACATTTTTTATACTCTCCAGCATTGAATTTATCCTGTTCTTTTTCTTTCGCTTCCTCCAGAAATATTGGGTTCTCATCTGATGACTCAGATAAGTCCAGTAACGTCTCTTGATGTTCATTAAGGCTCAGTCTTGAGTTGGGTGTAGAGGGACCTTCTAAGGGGTCCTCAAACACATCACCAATTTGACTTATGTGTCTCATGTTATGATTGCCCCTATCACTTCTCTTTAATACATAAGCATTGGGGCCTGCACAAAAAATCATTTGCCCTTGGGGCGTAAGTTGCCAATAGCCCTCCTTGGGAGGCTTGGGTGGCTGCCAATGCTGGCCAGTATTCCTTACTAAAGGAGCCTTGCTTCTATGCTTCCTGCTCCTATGCTTTCTTCCCCTTTTGGGAGAAGGGGAGGAGCTAGAGGAGGAGTCGGAGCCAGAGGAGGAGCTTGTGGTGCTCTTCGATAGGGACCGCCTCCCACGTCGACGTCTTCCCACTTCGTCTGCTGAGCTACAGGATGGAGGGCGCGCTCCTGCACGTCTGGGGGAGATTGCTCCACGTAGAATTCTGTTTTCCAGAGTTTTTTGCAATTTTGATCTTAGTGACTGTGATCAGAAAGCATATCAATGATTTATGTTTCAGATTCTTATTCCTACCCAGAAATATTAACAACAGAACAAAACCGGGACAAAGTAAATATATGCTTTTATGGTTGCATTTTAACTATGTTTCAATGTGTGATTTTATAGGTGTGTTTGACGATGTCATTGGTTGCCAACCTTTAGTCATCCAGGTGTTTTGGACCTCAACTCCCAGAAATCCCAGCCAGCTTACCAGCCTTTAGGAATTGTGGGAGCTAAAGCCCAAAGGACCAAAGGTTGGCAACTACTAGAATATGTTGTGCTCCACCTTGAGACAAAAGGAGAGGTGGGTAAAACATAAAAATTTATTATGATGATGACGATAGGAAGAAAATCACAGTAAGCTCAGTCAACAAGATCAAAGGTTCAGAGCACAGTTTGGGACAGAAGGTCTGACCTGCACAATAAAACAATATTTTGAACTTAGATGTGTCTGCTATAGATCCAACTCACTACCCAGAAGGAGCAAATGGAGGCATACAATGTAAGGACTATAGCATGAGTTCAAAGAAAATGTTTGGGGGAGGGAAGAGAAAGGTGTTTCTGATCCATTCTACAAAATAAATAAATAGTCCTTTCAAACTGTATTTTTCTGTTCCATAGAAAGGGAAAGGTGAAGCATGCAAATTATTGGGATACCGCTATTGTATTTATATTTTAACTTTTATTGTTAGATTGGGGGGAGGGGCAGGGGATAGTAAGATGAATTGAACTTACCCAGCAACTTCTATTCTTTTTTCAGGTGAGCAACCCACTCGTAAGTGAGTGAGCTAGGGAGGAAAATAATTGTTTATAACACATATACAATATATTATATCATATTTTTAAATTGACTGGCAACCAAGTTCTTCTGAGTGGCTATGGAATGAAATTGTTCCCTTGCCAACGCCATGTGTAATAACATAGGAGTTCACCTAATTCTAGGGGTTTATGACTGTTGTGGGTGAGGAGCTCACAAAAAAATTGCGTGACCACAAGTTTAACAAAAAAAATGACTTTTCTTTTTCTACCAAAAGTTTTTGCAGTGTTAGAGACTTGGGGGCGGGGTGGGGGCAGGACTTATGTGGTGAATAGAGGATGCATGTGTGGATCTCATTTATTGCCATCCCAGTGGATGTTCAGCAAGCAGAAGGTGTCTTAGCTGCCTTATAGTGCACCATGTTCCTATAGCTTCAAACAATAAAGCTGTGGACATTTTCAACGCTAGTAAAATGTATGTGCATTATTACAAGTGGTCAGTCTTCAAGCTTTCCCTGTACTGCTAGCTCAGCAATCTGATTACCAGGCTTCATGACAAATAAAATATAGTAGAGTCTCGCTCATCCAACGTTCTGTATTATCCAATGCAGTCTGCCTCCCACCCAGATCCACAGCTGTTTCAAAACATTGCAATGTTTTGGTGCTAAATTCATAAAGACAACAGTAACTACATAACATTACTGTGTATTGAACTGCTTTTTCTGTCTGTTTGTTGTAAGACATGAAGTTTTGGTGCTTAATTTGTAAAATCGTAACGTAATTTGATGCTTAATAGGCTTTTCCTTAATCCCTCCTTATAATCCAGCATTTTCGCTTATCCAATGTTCTGCCGGCCTGTTTATGATGGATAAGCGAAACTCTACTGTAAAACAAAGTAAATTAAGCAATATTTCCTAACTATGATTGTAGTAACAAAATAATTTACATCTATTATTATTATTATTATTATTATTAAACTTTATTTGTACCCCGCTAGCATCTCCCGAAGGACTCGATACAGCTTACAAAGGCCAAGGCCTCAACACACAATATAACAATACAAAACCTACGGCAAATTAAAAACAATTCAAGCAATATAAACAACAAGTAATCAACAATACATTAAGACACAATAGAACTGGGCCAGGCCAGAATAATGGATACAAGATTAAAAGTGCTGATGTGACAGGTGGTATATAAGGCTTATAGGGCAAGTGCAGAGTGCGATGTGCAACAATCTTGGTTCTAATAAAGTGCTTATGGGACTTGGTATTAGAGATTTCCTAATTGGAGATTTCCTAATTGGAGATTTCCTAATCTGGGAAGGCACATCAAAACAGCCAGGTCTTCAAGTTCTTTCTGAAGACTGCCAATGTAGGGGCCTGTCTAATATGAATTGTGGGAAGGAAGATTTGTGGGAACAAAGATTTTCTCCTTTAATGTCAGGATCCAGTTTCCGGAGCCCAGAATTTGGCGCTGGAAACTGAACTCCTGACGTTTTGCCCTGATAAGAACCCTGTAGCTGGTGGCCTTGAAGAAAGCAGTTATGTGATGGCGGGAAGCTTTTGCGCGGGGTTTTGGGTGTGGCGGGAATTTACCGTTCGAACAAGTGGGAGGGAATATAAGGGGCTGCCTGCTGCGTCCAGGCAATTCCGGCTTTTCTGTGTCTTAGTATCTGATAGTAAAGTTCTTTGTTTGATTACGATGGAAGTCTCGTGTCATCATTGAGCCCAGCTGTCGTGAGCTGACATTAAGCCGGAATTCCTCGCACCATCCTGCAGCAGCGGTGAGGTGCTATGATGGAAGAGGGGAGAGAATCCCCCTTGGAGGAGAAAGAAGACACCGTCCTCGGAGCGATGGGAGGAAAACCAACCTCGCTTCTCAGCGAGGCCGAGGCGGAGCTCGAAAGAGTGGCGGCGCTCGCCTCCTCAACAGCATACGCTAACCCTAACGGGGTCATCCAAAGGCGAACGAGAGAGGTCGCAGGAAGAGGCAGCAGTGAGATAGACTTCACCTCCCCCCAAAGGTATGGCTACTTGGAGGAGAGGGTAGCTGCCATGGAAACCACATTAGCCATGATGTCAAGGCTGATGGATCGCCTGGCCCCCCTGCTGGAGGAACCCCAGCCCCGCGTGGAGTCGCCATGGGAGGCGAGCACGGGGAGCAGCCAGATCCTGGGGGCGAGACGTAGGACCCAGGCAGCTCCGAGCGACGGAGGAGAGGGAAAGCCACGGGGAGCCGCGACAACCCCGCAGACCCTTCCTGTAGCAGTCTCAGCCGGGGCAGGACGTGGCATGGGGCAACCCGGAGCGTTGTTCGGGCAACCCGCACCCCCGGGAGGAATGGCACACGCAGGCGCCCAGGGGATGCAGCCCCAACCCCTGCAGCAGAGGAGAGAGGAGCTGCGTGCAGAATTCGGAGGGAAGTCCGAAGACCTTGATTTCTTCCTAACGCTGGTACGAGGGTATTTGGAGGACAACATGCATACCTTCAGATCGGAGGCCAGCCGAGTGAGAGCCGTAGGAGCAGCGTTGAGGGGAGGCGCAGCGAGTTGGTACGTCCAGCTTCATGCCCGACGTGCCCCATGCTTGGGGTCAGCGAGGGCGTTCTTAGCCGCATTGGAAGCGTGCTTCCGGGACCCCCTTGAGCGCATCAAGGCGAGAGATAGGCTGAAAACCATCACTCAAGGCCAGAGAAGTGTATCGGAGTTCGCCGAGGAATTCCAGTTGCTTGCCAAAAGGGTCCCAGAGTGGTCAGCCCAAACCAAAGTCGAAATCTTTAAGGAGGGCTTGAGAAAGGAGCTGCTGGCCTGGGCGCTTCACCATGACGACCTGGGGACAATCCAGGGGTGGATCCAGCTGGCAGGGCGTGTGGAGACCACGTTGGCCCAGGTCAAGAGGCACCGAGGAGCAGCAGCGCAGACCAGACCGCCCAGGACGGAGAACCAAAGGCCCAGTGGAGAGCCACATAGAAAGGAACCGGCGAGCGGAGAGAGGAGCAGGCAGAGTGGATGTTTTGTTTGCGGCCATTTGGGCCACCGAGCGTCCGGGTGTTGGCAGAGGAAGGGGGGGGGATCCCCCGCAGCTCAAAGCAAAGTCAGCAGCCAGGAAAAAGGCAGAGGAATGCGCTTTCCTTGAGGCCCCGAGGGGAACTTTGGTGAGTCACAGCCCTGGAATGTTAGTCTTCCCCATCAAGCTGGAGGGGGTAGATAAGTGGGCTGGCTGCAAAGCCTTTGTAGACTGCGGGTGCTCCAGGAACATAATGACCCCCGAGCTACCCGAGGAGCTGAATAGTAAAAAGGTAGCCCTGCAAACCCCCATAGCCTTCACCCAACTAGACGGATCGGTTGCGGCAGGAGCCCCAGCAAAATTTGAGGTTGGTGGGGGGTGAAGTGCAAGATAGGCAGATGGGAGGGCGAAGTTGCGTTCGTAGTCTCCCCGTTAGCAACATATCACGTAATCTTGGGGATGCCATGGCTACAGGAGGCGAACCCTAGCATAGATTGGGAAGAGAGAAGCTTGAAATTCCCTGAGGCACCAGCGGGGGTGGGCAACCGAGGAGAGGAGAGCACGCCGCCTAAGAACTGGGTGCAAGACATCCCCCCCCCAATACCGAGACTTTGCGGATGTTTTTGATGAAAAGGAAGCTGATAAGCTACCCCCAAAAAGGAGGGTTGAGGTGAAGATTGAACTGAACAAAAATGCAACACTCCCTAAAGCCAAAATCTACCCGATGTCCGCTAAGGAGATGGACGAGTTGAAAAAGTACATTGATAAAAACCTAGCGCAGGGGTTCATCGAACCTTCCGATTCCCCCCTTGGAGCCCCCGTGTTATTTAGACGGAAAAAGGACGGTTCACTCCGGCTATGTGTGGATTACAGGAGGTTAAATGCTGTGAGTACTACCACCTGTTTCCCTCTGCCCCTAACCAAGGACTTGCTGTCTAGGTTGGTGGAGGGGAGGGTGTTTACTAAACTGGACTTGGTCGAGGCATACCACAAACTCCGAATAAAGCCAGAGGACCAATGGAAAACTGCATTTTTATCTGCGCTAGGATTATTCCAGTTCTGTGTGTCCGTACGGACTAAAAGGAGGGGGAGGGGCATTCATGCAAATGATTAATGAGGTGTTGCACCCTTTGTTATACCGTGGAGTTTTTTGCTTTATTGATGATGTAATCATTTTTAGTAAAAATGAAGCGGAGCATACGCAATTGGTGAGGGAAGTACTCCAGAGGCTAAGGGAGGCGAAATTGTTCACCAAACTAGCCAAATGTGAGTTTAATAGGAAGCAAATTGACTTCTTGGGGTATAGAATCTCCCATAGAGGCATCACCATGGACCCCACGAAGTTAGAAGACGTAAGGGTCTGGGAGCCCCCAACCACACGCAAACAACTGCAATCATTCCTGGGGTTTGCAAACTTTTACCGGTCATTCATAAAAGACTTCACTCAGCTCACATTACCCCTCACAGAATTACTGAAAACGAAGGGGAAGGGGGAGACGGCCAAAACACGATCCCCGGGGGCTAGGCTGGTGTGGTCAGAGGAGTATCAGGAGGCTTTCAAAAGATTAAAGTGCAGGTTCACAGAAGAACCGCTTTTAATTCACCCAGATACGGCCAAGCAATTTGTCCTCCATTGCGACGCCTCCGATTGGGCATACGGGGCGGCACTTATGCAGAGAGATTCTGAAGGGACCTTGAGACCTCGTGGGTTCCTATCCAAAAAATTTATGGAGACAGAACGCAATTGGCCAATTTGGGAAAAGGAAGCGCTAGCAATAATGAAGGCGCTGGAATGTTGGAGGCACCTATTGGAAGGGAGCGGGGTCCCATTCGAAGTGTGGACTGACCATAGGAATCTACAGTACCTAACTTCCCCCCGCAAATTGTCAGCCAAACAGATCCGATGGGCCCAGTTCTTCTCCCGTTTCCAATTTGAGTTAAAATTCCACAAAGGTAAAGAGAACGTGGTCGCAGACACGCTCTCTCGTATGCCACGACAGGAGGGGGGAGAAGGGAAGGCACTTGAAAGTCGCCTCATATCAGTGCAGTGAGGGGGAATGGCAGTCGTGACCAGAGCACAAGCAGGACGCAACAAAGAGTTAACTGGAATAGGAGGAGGAGGGGGAGATAAGTGGGAGGAATAACTTAAACAAGCATACAAGAAAGATGAATGGCTCCAGGGGAATGAAGAAAAAGTGGAATGGAAGAGCGGATTGGGGTTCATGAACAAAAAACTGTACATTCCTGAAGGGTTACGGGAGGAAATGATGAGGAGGTGTCATGACAATATGGAAAACGGAATATGGAAAACGAGATTGGATTGTGATTCTATGATGAGACGTCGCGAATGATTTAGTGTAATTGTATTATTGATAGTGATGTTGTTATTGTTGTTTGTGTTATTGCCTTTATTGTAAATTGTCTTTTATATGTTGTACACCGCCGTGAGTCGCCCTAGGGCTGAGAACGGCGGTCTACAAATACAGTAAATAAATAAAATAAATAAATAAATGACAATAAAAGTGCGGGCCATTTTGGAGTCACTAAAACCACGAAACTGCTAGCACGGCAATGTTGGTGGCCAGGGATGAGAGGTGCCACCAAGTTATATGTTTCCAAATGCGACATATGTGCTAGGAACAAAACTCCCACACAGAAGCCTAGAGGTCTGTTACAAAAAGTGGCAGACCCCACGAGACCGTGGAGCTCGATTGCTTTCGACTTTCTTGGGGAACTCCCTCCCAGCAGAGGCCAACGTTACATTTGGACGGTCCTTGATCTGTTCTCCAAGCAGGCACATTTTATTGCACTCCCTAAATTCCCCTCGGCCGAGAAACTGGCGGAGTTGTTTGTAAAACACATCTATCGTTTATATGGATGTCGAGACCAAGTCATCAGTGACAGAGGGGTTCAATTTACTGCTAAGTTCTGGAAAGAATTCATGCAGTTACTGGGGGCAGAGAGAACATTAAGTTCAGCATTCCATCCCATGACAAACGGGGGGGGGGGGGGTTTAGAACGCACTCAGCAAACTTTAGGGGCGTTCCTTAGGTCATACACAAATCAACGTCAGTCAGACTGGGCGGATCTCCTTCCCTACGCAGAGCTGGCGTACAACGCAGCCCCGCAYGCCTCAACCGGAGAGTCCCCTTTCAAAGTCGTTTACGGCCAGGAAGTGGCCCCCCTTCCCAGGTTACCGGAGTGGGAGGAAGAAGGGCAGAGGCGGGGGGAGGATTGGGGAGACAGAATGAGAGCTAGCTGGGAAGAAGTAGTCACATCACTGCGGGAAGCCCAAAGGAAACACAAATTATTCGCCGACCGAAAAAGGAGGGAGGGAGACAAATTAGAGGAAGGCGAATTAGTCTGGTTGTCTGCAAAGAACATTAGGTTAGACGCGCCATCAAAGAAACTCACCCCACGTTACTTGGGTCCGTTCCGAATCCTGAACAAGATAAATGAAGTTACATACAGGCTGAAACTACCCAAGGATTTGGGGAAAGTCCACCCGGTTTTCCACTGTGGGTTACTCAAAAAATATCAAGGCCCTCTTGGCCCAGAAAACCTATAGACATGTTTCCTGTTTTCGTTGCAGGAGGAAGAAGAGGAGGAGGACGTCATGTCAGGATCCAGTTTCCGGAGCCCAGAATTTGGCGCCGGAAACTGAACTCCTGACGTTTTGCCCTGATAAGAACCCTGCAGCTGGTGGCCTTGAAGAAAGCAGTTATGTGATGGCGGGAAGCTTTTGCGCGGGGTTTTGGGTCTGGTGGGAATTTACCGTTCGAACAAGTGGGAGGGTATATAAGGGGCTGCCTGCTGCGTCCAGGCAATTCCGGCTTTTCTGTGTCTTAGTATCTGATAGTAAAGTTCTTTGTTTGATTACGATGGAAGTCTCGTGTCATCATTGAGCCCAGCTGTCGTGAGCTGACACTTTAATATATAAAAATATATCAGTATCAAGAATTTTCAAAGAACTAGTCTTTATTGAAGCATTCTGTCTGTTCTTGGAAGCTAACAAATACCAGGTCCTTGGCTAAGAAAACCCCATGAAATGGAAAGAGTCACCATAATTGGGCAGATGACTTGAACTGTGAGCATATATTTGTTAGAAAATGCCTTTCCATATTCTCACCATTTTAGTAAACTCTATTTTTATTCCAGAAAACATACCTTGACTTTTTTATCGCATGTTTTTCCAGCTGAGGATGGTTGCAGTTCAACTGTCATAACTCCCTGTGACAATATTCTACATGGAAACAGTCCCACATAAGAAACAGTTATTACAGTTTACATCTGCTTCAGAATCAATACAGCACAAATACTATTTCATTTTTAACTCATATCTCCCCATCCACATTCTTTGAACTAAAAGTTCTGTGGAGGACACACCACTGTGAATAGTATAGCAAACATTATCCACTGCAATCAATCATCATTACCTTATAATGCCCACAATCCTTAACATAAGTTAATTATGTAAACAGTCATATTAATTCACTTGCAATGATTTAAATACTTGCTGATTCATATGCATGGCAATTCTGTATCTGGAATTTTTAAAATGTTTGGAAAGGTGTTACTGGCCCAAACAATTCATATCTTCAACTAGAAAAGAACCACAGAATCAACAGAAAATTGGTAAATAAAACTGTATGTACATTTAAACAATACAATGGGTCTACTGTAACTTGGATTAACAATTTATTTAGACCACTGTCACTTGCATAATTTGATCTTTTTTACATACACATCTACATGAAAATTGTAGGTATTGCCCCATTTCAAATCAATAGATCTGTGAAATGGCTCATAGATGCTATTAAACTTGACCCCTTCTCATTTTTATTTATTTAAGGATTTATAATCTGTTTTTCTGGAAACTTGTCCATTCTGCTTTCCCTAACTAGAGTTTTCAATAATAACACCAGTTAATCTTTCCCCATATCTTTCCATTTTAACCTCATCTATAGAATGTCATTTTACCACATTAAACTTACACTGCAGATTCATAATCAAACACTTTTGAGTAATCCTCTTCATGGTAAAATGTGACTGTCTATGAAGCAGAACAGACAAGAAAAATTAGCTAGATTAGACTACAATTCTCAACTTTTTTGATAAAATATTTCTTCATTTCAAAGGAAAAAATTAAAACTCGCATCACTAACTTGTTAGATTTAGGTAAAAACCTTTTTAAAGGCCAGCTTAACAACAACAACAACAACGCCCTAAAATTACAGGAATTTGAAAATAAATATATTTTTCCTGTAAAAGCAAACAGATTATTTTTAGGTGAATGTTCTTTGTGGCAATTTGTAGCCTAAGAACAAATAAATAAAACATAAAATAGAATTAACTAAAACTGGAAGATACAGACAAACTAAAAGGACACAATTAAGTATTTAAAACCATATGAACACTAAGAATTCTGGTTTAAAAAACAAAACAGGGGTATTCATTTGTTCAAAAACATATTGCAATACTCAGATCTTTCAGAAGTGGGTTTTTTTAAGGGAGAGCCACAAGTACACCTTATTTTATTCATTCATTCATTCATTCATTCATTCATTCATTCATTCATTCATTTTGTCTTTCAACAAAGAACCAATAGTGGCTCCCAGCATATATCAAAACAAAATACAAAAGTAATGACAATAAAGTTAAAAATTAAACAAATAAGCATAATGGTCACCATTATTTTCATACACAACCTTTATCTCAAAACCAGGACTCAAGGCAGCTGAAAAATTAGAGTTCTGTCATTTTTTTCTCTTTTGATTTTGTTTGTAAATAAAAACATTACAGCATCTACCAAGATTACTCCTAAATTTCTTTAAAGACATTTTAGATGACCCTATGATCAATAGGCCACGAGGAGGAAGCAAATATGTATAAACCGTTGAACTGAATGCATTCTATAAACACTTATTATATTTTGATGTATTGTATGATGTTTGTAATTTTTATTATGTTGTCATTCTGATAATTCCAAAAGAAAAGGACCAATGTAGAAACAACTACATACTCAATGTAGGCCGTATTCAACTTAGACCACATAATAACAATAAAACAAAGTAATTATATTATCTGCAGGAACTTCTCACCTGGTTTTTAGTGCAGATTCCACGGGCTATTTCATAATGAAGGTAGGTATCTTGCTTCAGCAAATTTGAGTTGAAGACTTCAATATCTACAGATAAACCCAGATTTTCCAGAAACACTATCTGAGCCCAAAAGGCTACACTGTCCCCCATATCTAGATAATAAATATTTTGATTCATATTATGGTGAAATGATATGTATGGACAAACTTCTCCTAATTTCCATGCAGCACTAAACACTTCCAATTTCAATGGGTAGACTTCACGTTGTATATCCCGACCATCAATGGAAATCAAGTACAGGTCACCAGCAGCATTCAAATAAAAAACGAAATGTTTGGTTGAAATTTGCCATGCAGGAAGTTTCACAACATCATTCATTTCAAATTTGAAAAAATACAAGATATTATTATTAAGTTTTATTACAGCGTTTCCACCATAATCTGCAAAAAAATAAAATAAAAATACCAAGTTAACATCACTTTCTGCTGTGTGGGAATGCAAACATTTACGTAAAAATATCACTTTTTAGCATGCAATGCTAAATATGCTTTTAAAAAGGACACAGGGTGCATCAATGTGGCAGGAAAACCTGGGACTCCACACCAGCCCTGGGGCTTCACTATCCATCTCTGTCCCACTGCAGAGGTGGGGCAGAGTCCCAAATGTTGAGAAGGGCTGAACCTGGTTTGACCCAACTTGATGGCCACCCTTAATTTGGTGATCGTCTCACCATTGCTGGGCCACCCACTTCCCCTCTCCAGGTTGTGGATGAACCATTGCAAATATCAGCAAGTTTCCAGAGATGGCCAGAAACTATTGTAAGCAACAGGACCGTCAAAGATGGTACCCATCCCTCTGTCCCCATGCTATGGAGCCTGGGGAAAATGAGGTGGTTGTGAGAACATGGAGCCCTTTCTGATTTGGAATCAGCCCAGCTGTTTTCACTACCTCAAAATGTGGGGCTTTCAACCCACTCACAGCATTGATTGAGACGGATACAGGTTATTTCAAGCATTAATATTTTATAGATTTTCAGAGTTGTCTACTGTTATCTCTCTTTTCTCCTTTCTGCAAAGTGTATGCACTCTCTACAGTTTAGGCTAAAGTATACCCACAAATACTCTTTTCTGTGTGTTCTAGTTTTTTTTCTTTTGGCTCCATACAATCATCACTTCTGCTAATTCTTACAAGCTTATGAAACGCAGTGCCTAAAACTTGTACCACAATACTGTGTGGTCGTACACAGAGTAAACTTCACTGAATTTAATGTATTCTAAAACTCTTCATTATAAACACATTTCAGTGACTTGAAGTGATACAGAATGCAGATGCTAGAATACCTGTGGGGACTAGGAGTTCAGGGACAAAATAATAAATATGCTACAGGAGTAGGTAACTATCAGGAGAGTGGGACCATATCAGTTTCTCAAGAAATTCCTAGAGTGCTGCATATCTGACTCCCCAGCATTCCACAGAAACCCTCCATGTTTCAGTTATAATAACCAATAGTACCCCCTGAAAGCTTGAAGGGTGTAGCTGCCTATTCTGCCTTATTATTTATGTCTTCTCAATTTTTTGGGTAGCAGATGGTTGCGAGAAGCTGAAAATGGTGCAAAATGACCAACTCTATGCTTCAGAAGGGACAGTCTCGGCTCTTTTTTTAAAAAGCAAAATGAAAGATTAAAATGGACCTAGAGGGTTCAAGAAAGGCTGGTGTAACCTATGTGTTGCACTTTACTCATCTTTGCTACAACAACTGATTTGGGATTAAGATCACCCACTAAGGACTTGCTCAAATATATGTAAGGCTAGCTGATATTGTGATTCGTCTCGAGCCATGAGGAGAGGCGGCTAAGAAATACAATTATTATTATTTTAGAAATAAAGCATTGGTAATTAGTTTTGCATGATCTCAGTTTGGTTACTTTTTAAGAATTAAAAATTCATTAAAATTGTTATGAGGCGGGTTTTAAACCACTATTATTTTCATTTTATAACTAGATTTTGCCTAGATTTAAAAAATTGTTCTATGCTCCAGGTTGATTCTGATGTATGCCAATGCTAGATAGGAAGGGGGTTGCCTTTGCCTTCGTTTAAGGCATAGAAAATGTGACTTGCCCAAGGTCAGCCAGGGGTTCCATGACCAAATGGGGATGTGAACTCTGTTCCTCAGAATCTAATCCAGTATTCATATCACTACACCACACTAGTTCACATTTCAAAAATTGTATCCTGTTTAATTATACTTTCTAGTCTGCATTGAGAGAGTTTTGCTTCAAATAAATAAATAAATACATAAATAAATAAATAAATAAAATTTAGAAAATTGGAGTGTCACATACTGTTATTTAAAGAATGCCATAGTGTGGATGATAGCATTACAGAAGCCACCTTCATGACAACTACATTAGCTCAACGCAATCATAATAATAATTACTTTATTTTTATACCCTGCCTCCATCTCTCTGAAGGGACTTGGGGCGGCTTACAGAGGGACAAGCCCAGGATTACAAATAAAACAGGCACAGTAAAAACAATCAATAGCAACAAATAATAAAAACATTAAAATCAATTAACATCATAAAAACAATACCCTGGCTGGCCAATTTGAAACTGGGTTCGGGCTCAGAGTAAATGCAATGATTCATTGGGAGAGCCGAGGGAAAGTGCAGTAGTCAGAGGGCTGGGTTGCCAGGGTAATGCCCTTGGCCATTAAAATGTCATAAGTACAGGAAAGTAGCCAACTAAAGTGCTGGAGCTTAGATAAGGTTGGGATAATTCTCAAGTGAACCACCTAGTCAAAGGCACAACGGAACAACCAAGTTTTTAATTCCTTGCAGAATTAAAAATTGAGAGTGCAGAGCAGAGTGATCCCCATCACATCGTTATAACATGAACCCAATAATTAACTCTTAAGTTAATTCACAATTTATATTGTCCCCAAATTCTGTTAACTTTGTATATACTAACCAACAAGAATTTGATGAATAGAAGATCCTTCAGCTGCAGCTGAAAATGGTGTGGTTGTTCCAGAGATTCTAAGAAAACCATGATCTGTGTTTTCTTTAAAACTATAGAAAATTAAATCGTCATCCCAAAACACCATAGATTTTCTTGCTGAGCTCAAAACTTCCATAGACATATGTCCAGTTGCAGAAGGATTCAAGGAAAAGTCTCCTAAGGTCCATGTATCCGAAGCTTCATTATAGAAAACTAAATATAATATATCAGTAGCCTGGCACCCAGTACATTGTACTAGCACTGTAATTACAGTAGTGAGTGAGTCATAGCAAGCAGTGATTATTTCTAAAATCAAATTCCTTCGAAAATTTAGTCTTTCCTTTAGAAGTGTCATATCTATCAATGGAATAAAGTCATTAGTAGGAAATCCTCTAATAATTTCTTCATTTGTCCATATAAGTAAATCACTTAATGGTCTTTCCTGTAAGAAAAAAATAGTATATTTCCAAAGTTGCATAAAATACTAATAAATTCACAATATTACCATAAATTAGGGCATTTTATTAAAATAATAAAGGAAAAGCTATTGTTATGGGTAAATGCATCTTCTACAAAAAGTGTCAAAAACGAAACGCCACCTTGCTCTTATCTACGTTTGTTTTTCTAGTATCCACTGGATACTAGAAAAAAATTCCAACCATCTTCAATGTAAATGTGCTTCTGTATCCTTCCAATAATCACCATAGTTTTTCATTTTAACTATGCATTTTGGGGGAAATGCTGTGTGTATATGAATAAGGAAAACTGGAAGAGCTGAGTTGCTGTGAGGAGAGGGTCCGAGCAGTTGCTGTGAGGAGAGGTGAGGGTCCACTAGAATCCTCCTCCGAGTATAATCCAAGGAAGGCTTTTTCAGCCTAACAAAAGGGCTGAAAAACCAGGCTTAGACTCGAGTATATACAGTAAATA